AAAAAAAAAAAAAAACTTATTGAATAACTTCAAGCAAACACAAAAAGGCTGTTTATTTTGAATTTTATTTTATTAAATGTAAGAAGTTTTAAAAGATGATATTAGCAGTTTCTTAAATTATAGCAGGCTGGAGGAATAGATGTGAACCTGCTCAAACAAAGAAAGCAAGCCACTGCCTTCTCACCATCTTTCACTTCTTCCTGTGAGTGACAGAATAAAGAGTAAGTAACAGCTGCCAGCCAGCGCCTCTCACTTCTGTTCTGCAGCGAAAGTCTCAAAGTCCAGGGCGGCCGCGCGGTGCATTGTGTGGCTGGCTGTGCAGAGGCGCCGGTGCTGTGCAGGGAGTGCCGGGCGTGCAGTGCAGTGCGGAGGGCAGCCTGGTGCCCGCTGCTTCCCCTCCCCTGGGGCACCGCACTCACCGCCTCTGGGAATGGCAGCGGGAGAGCCACCCCAGCCAGCTTTGAAGATTTTTTTTTTAATAGAAGGATTCCCGAAGTTTTCCCAGCTTATCTTTTTTTTTTTTTTTTTTACAGCAGTAGGCTTTCTCAGCCCTGCATGAGGTCGTTTATAATTGTAAACAAATAGTAGTAAGCAGAGGCCAGAGGTTAGATAACTGAAGTCAGCGTGGAGAGTGACTGTCACCCACAAGTCCAGCCCGCAGCAGATAGGATGAGAGCAGAAAACAAAGAAGAATCTTAATTCTTCATGGAGCATTAGGTTTCAAATGCTTGTTTGTTGAAAAATACTATTTTGGCAGGATTATTACAGATAAGACAACAAATTTGTATGGTGGATTGCAGGCTGGCTGGCTGGCTTTCTTTAATCTTTTTTCCTTTCTTCCTTTCTTTCGTGGTCTGCGATTGGACCCAGGGGCTGCTGCACTATAGACAAGCATTCTGTCACTGAGCTACATTCCCCAGCCTTTAAAGCATTTTTAGCTTGAGGCAGAGTCTCACTAGGTTGCCCACATTAGCCTTGGATTTGCGATCCTCCTGTCTCAGCCTTTCCAGTTGCTGGGGTAGCTAGCCTGTACCTCTGCACCTGGCTTGCTTTGCAGTTTTCAAATGCTTTTGTAACATTTTTCCTATTCAACACCAACAGCTGAAGCCACTTTTTGAAGTACTGTCTTTCCCACGTTATAAATGAAAAACCAGAATTCCTGAGTTTATGACTTGCTAAAGGTACACTGAATACGAGGTGAGGTGTTCTGCTGCAGCACTCCCTCTGCCACACGAGGAACAAGCAGTGTGACGTCATCTGACTGTCTGGCCTTACCTTTCACTCTCATACCTCTGTAGAAAACCACAGTCCAAACACCCAACCTAGTGACCATTTCACGTTCCTCGTAGTAAGACTGTACATATCATCAAAAGGCAGCTTCTTTCCCTTAGGCCTTAATAACAGACTGAAAGAAGAGCCCTGTTACTTAGAATCGGTGGTAGTTCAGAAGGAACCATGAAGACCATTGAGTTTTTTTATTGATACATTTTAGGTATATATAATGATGGCATTCACTATAGGGAATTTGTGTCTGTACGTGATAGATCTTGATTCTTCTTTTTTCCTGTTGCCCTTCCTTCCCTTTAACCCCCTTCTCCTGTTTATTTATAAAAACTTTCTTTCCATTTTTGTCCTGTTTTCTTTTTTTTCTTGTCCCTTTTTTCCTTCCTTCCTGCCCCCTCCCTTGTTGCCCTTCTTTTTTTTTTATGGTCTTTTTGAGACAGGGTCTCACTATGCAGTCCAGGCTGGCCTTGAGCTTACTTTGTAGCCCAGGCTGGTCTCAAACTCACAAAGGTCTTCCTGCCTCAGCCTCCCGAGTGCTGGGATTACAGGTGTGTGCACCACCATGCCCGGCACCTTGTTGCCCTTCTCATTTGAACATTTTCTTTCCGTTTCCCCATGTCTGTTGTACATTTTTTATTTTTATTGACATTTTAGGTGTCTCTCACACCATGAGAGAAACCATGCGATGTTTGAACATGTGTGTCTGATTTATTTCACTTAAGAGTAGAGACCATTGAGTTTTGAGGTGTGTGTGTATGTGTGTGTGTGTGTGTGTGTGTGTGTGTGTGTGTTTACTGGTGATTAACCCCAGGACATTCACATCATCAGCCTTCCCTCCCTTTTAAACAATTTTTTTAGTTTCAGATAGGGTCTTGCTAAATTGCCAAATTGCCCAGGCTGGGTCCAACCTTGTATTCTTCCTGCCTCAGCCTCCCAGATTACAGTACTGGGATTACTGGTATGTGCCACCATGCTTGATTTGGGACCACTGAGTTTAATACACATTTTAAAATCCAGACTAAAGCTCTTCATATGGAAAGTGAAACCATTTTTTACAGAGACCAGGGCTTCCTTCCTCAGATAGAATAACTACTGGAGTGCTTTTTCTCCTAAAAGATACATCAGTCAACAGAGGCTGCAGTTCTAGTCCCCAGAGCTAATTTAATGAAAACTTTTAGTAGGCATTCCTGAGCATCTGCCCTGTGCAAACCTCCATGCAGGGGCAGCTTTGCGGGAGTTTAGGACCGAATGAGGAGAGTTAGTCTGGGGGAAAATGCACCAAGAGATGTGTTCAGCCATTTGAAGACTCAAAGGGTCAGGGATGTGGCTTAGTGGTGGATCACGTGCTTAGCATGTGCAAGGCTTTGGGGTCAGTCCTCAGTACTGCAAATAGATCAATAGCTAGCTGACTGACTCAGAATGTCGTCAGTATCCCATCTTTGGTCTCAGTCCTCTGGAAACACTAGTGAAGAAGCCCTTTTTTGTGTGAAAAATGACAATTGTGGGCACTTTGGAACTTTCAGAATAATGCCACCCATCCCCCAGAAGGTGAAGTAAAAAGATTAAAAGCAAATTGAAGCTAGCCATGTTGATGTACACTTGTAATCCCAGCCAGCACTCGAGAGGCTGAGGCAGGAAGATTGCATGTTTGAGGCCAGCCTGGGCTATATATGGAGACCTTGTCTCAAGTTTTTTTTTTTTTTTTTTTTTTAAAGTAAATTAAATTGTGATTGTTAGCACCAAGTTTTTCTTTAGATGTTGTCTCTAGAAGTTTTAACTGAGAAAATCATGTATTACTCAAGCTTTGCTATCAAAGTTCTGCTAGTAACATTTAGCTCATTGGAGTATGTTTTCAGAGCATGGATGGCAAGCACAGCCATGTGTCATGGTCTTATTTGAGAACTGGTCAGCTGGGAACCTGGAGAGCTTCCCCGGACGTACCCTCATAATGTGGGCAGTCTCGAAGGTAGTGAGGATGGAGAGAGAATGCAGAGCTCGTTAGAATAATTACAGGTTCTGGTATACGTGAGAGGTCACTTCGCCCACACACTCATGGAATGCGTCAGAGACCGTACCTGTACCAGAGGTAAACGTGGTTTTTTCAGTAGTTGCTACTGAAAGCTGAAAAACCACATTGTGTAAGTGCTCCAATCAGTGCAGTATTCTGCACACCATGTTCAAGATACAGAGTCACTTGGACTGTAAATTTCAAGGACAAACTGTCCTTCAGTAAAGCAAGTATAGGAGGAAACTTACATTTTTAGAGGGAAAGAAGTTTCTCTTTAATTTTTTTTTTTTTTTTTTCCCTCCGGTACTAGGAACCGAACTCACGACCTTGCACTTGCCAGGCAGGTGCTTTGCCGCTGAGCTAAATCCCCAGCCCCGTTTCTCTTTAATTTAAAAAGCTGCATTCAATTTCCTACTCTCTGGGCTTGCAGTGTATCCACTTCTGCCAGTTCCAGGTTTTGTTTTTCAGCTAGATTTCTTTCCAGTTTCTCGTATTTCTCTTCCTGTATGTCCTTGAATCGCACACAGTAAAACTTGGTTATAATCAGGTAAGCCTACCCTTACCCTGTTCTCCTTGGCTTAGGAACTCAGGGGGATGGTTTGGGGTTAACTTTAAAACATAAATAGGACACCTGTCAACAAAGGTCTCTGCTGTGCCTTTCTGCCTTAACGTGTCTCATGGGCCTCAAATCAGGCCAAAGACAGGGTGACATATAAATGGTGCCATACTTGAACTTGGCTAATGAGGCCTTGAGGGTTTCATCTCTCCTTACTGTGTTTACCCAAAAATGTCTTTTACGTCATTATAATAGTAAAATCAACAGTTGCAATTCAGTAACAAATTTTTATTTATATAATTTTTATGGATTGTGTCGATTTTCCCTCTTACAGGATAACTGGGGTAGGGGTTGTTCCTAGGTTTTGGGCATGAACCTATTCGTTATTCTTGGAAGTTGAAATCTTCAATTTGTTACTTTAGCCCCTTAGAGTGTAGGAGAAGAACAGGCATTATATATCTCTTTGATGGGAAGTGCCAGAAATCTATCAAAGTAATTTAGGAGAAAATTGAGACATATTGGTTTATGGTATCTAAGAACAACTTGGGCCACCAACCTACGTGA